AGTAGATACTTAATAAATAATCTTTGAGAATATAATAAAGAGTTCTATATACGTTATTTAGTCTCCTATAAACTATGTATCTAGATAGATTAATACTATATTATCACGGAGGTAATAGCTATGTCTAATGGTCACTTTGATCAGGAGATAGGTATATAGAATGATTATAAACTAAATTCACTTGAAGTGTAATTATAAGGATCATATTTGCTCTATATACCCTGATCAGGCAATGGAGTTGTCTAATTAGATATATAGGATATACAAATAAACTGAATGAAATAGTTTTAGTAATTATAGGAATAAGTACTCAGAAAAAATACTAGGATTAATATCGTAGGGTTATACTATACAGTGAATTCCGTGACATATATTATTATCCGCTTAGCATAGATAGCTTGAGTTTATATTGATAGGAGTATTTGTATGTAATTTTATATACAAGAATCAATCGATGTAAATCTTAATTATATCTAAGCAATAAAGAAAGATATAGATGTTAATAGGCAGATAGAAGAACTATTCACATCTCACCGCTTTTATTTTGCCACGAATAAATTTGCAATGGTCACGCAAATAGATTCTGGATGGCTCCATATAGACAGATAGAAGGACATCCCTATTTTGTTGTATCAATTTCAATCACTTTCAATTGCATAGTATGCGCACATAGGATTCTTGAGAGTGAAAACTCTCGATGTGTTGGCTGGGAAGGTACTTGGGTTTACTGTCGGAGATAGTGGAGTGAGTGAGTATAATCGTGTTGTGTTGTTTGATGAAGCAATTCTCTAGTTTCATCGTTATCATTGATGTCATGAGAAATCAAAGCAAAAATCATATCTAAATATCCTCACTATATGTCTCCCTATCATCAAAATCCTAGATCAGGTCGATCACTATCAAAAAGTAATATTGTCTCGTCAGCCGGGAGCTCAATACATATCTGTAGGTAGGTAGATATCATGCCGTCATCCCATTCCTATCATATCTTATCTATATCTCACCCCATTCTCTCTATTCCATACCTCATACCCAACTCCACCGGATACATTTTGTCGCCCTCCTATTGTAAGACTCACCTCATTTCATTTCATCAGCTCATTCCTCCATCTATCATCATCCAAATCTCTATCCCTATCCTCCCAACCCCTTCACCGCAACAATGCCAGCTCTCAAATCCCAAATCCCAAATCCCAAATCCCAAATCCCAAATCCCAACACCCAGATACGAAGGAAAGTACCGGTACAAAAGCCCGAAACAAGATAAAGTCGGTGAGGAATTTAAGGCGTACGGATATGTAGGTAATAGGTAGGTAGAGAGGTATATAACAAGCAGTGATATAGATGGTTAGGATAGGGTATGCACGAATATCCACGCCGCAGGATTATTTTGTTTGCGAGGTGTGGATGGATGGGTAGGATGGCATGGGATAGTGTTCGATATAAGTTCCTTGATCCCTCCCGATTTCTTGGGTATGGGTGGCAGGTTTGGAAATTGTGTGGCTGATTATTGGAGGAGTTGCAAAGGAAACCTTAGGAAGGGAAGGAAATTTTGGGCTTGCTGATGGGTACAGCATATGTACGACGGGAGGTAAGAATGGATAATGATGTATATCCCAGAAACAGAGTATGTATTGCGAATCGATGGATTGGCGCTCTCCTTTACATCCACATCCACAAATACACCCACACGGACTCTCAGAAATAGAATTTTACCCGAGCCTTGTCATAGTCACCCATGACCGAGTTCAATCTCTGCGTTTCCATCTCCGTTGATTCCCTCTTTGAACCCTGGAGCGCACGCACAAACATGTACCGATCACATGAAATAACCGTCCTGAGAATGGTTTAGGTAAAGGCTGTTGTACGTAGATGAATCATCATTCACATATTCATTTATCCTCCGCATCCGTAAAACTGTAAAATTACACTTCGATTCATCCTTCAAGTATATATCACACTTGCTAGAGCTATGTGTGTATATAACATCGTATCATGTTCGTGCGGTCGTATGCAGTTAACGCTATGATGTGATCTTGATGTCAAACATGAATACCGGTCAGCAACCCGCTCCCGCTCGGCTACCCTCCGGATCAGTTGATCCGCATCCGATTTCTTGGCCGGCTTCTCGGCCGAGAGAATTGGAGATATGAGGATTGGATAGATAGGTTCTGGAAGTAAGCATGAAGGGACGGATACATCGTTCCGCTGATAAGAGATATAATGTTCCTTCTAGAAGATGGAGCGATCAAATGTCTTCTATACGTACCCTCGTACCCTCGCTATCGAGAATCCTGGAGAGGAAAAGCTCAACCCCTTTTCAATACCAACTCCACTTCCTTCTAGTGTTTGCAACGGAATTTTCTAAATACATCGTACGCAAGGGAGATATCTCATCTGCGGGGAAGCATCTAATCACATACTAATGTGATTCCATGCATGATACAAAAGGGAAATAAAAAGAGAGTTCTTGATTTCCTTATCGCGCTTTGATGTTCACTGTCTTACATTCCATTCCTCTATCTCACTATCTCGCTGTTTATCTATCTTTCTCGAATAAAGTTTTCTATCTTCCTTGCTTTTATCCAAACTTTGTTTTGTTTCGTCATGTTGCTTCTCTTCTATTTGTTCGACGGCTAGTAGTTTGCGGATATTTAGTTAGTGTCTCGTCTTTGCGGGAAATATAGATGCTGATGTTGATGTTGATGGATGTGGAGTGGAGTCTTGAGGTTCTGCTGCTAAACGCTATATACGATGATGGGTTGTGGAGTCGCTGGGTGTAACTACACATGACGTACTTTGGCAGCGTTACGAGCCAGGGGGGCGGAGATCTAGAAGGATGAAGATGGGTTTTATTGTAGGGCTTGCTATCAGTTATGGGTGCTGCTAATTATGGTTAGTGTTGCTTTCGAAACTGTACCCCTTTAAAGAAATCTGAAGACTTACACGTGACCTCAGATGTAGCATCCTCCTCTTGAAATCGGTGCGATAGTGTAGTATATTCAATAGCGTCAAACTCGAGTAAGAAATTTAAGCGCGTAACCGATTTGTGACTTGAAAGTCGGCAATCCTTTTTATCTTTCACCATACCCAATCATTTACAGAAAGATGTATGCGTGACATACATGGAGAACATACTGTGCTGCAAATACTCTTCCTGTCCTTCTTTCTACATCAACAATGACTCGTGAATATACTCGATCTGTGACTTTTGATCTCGTGGCGCTTTTTTGACTAATGGCACATATGGAGGGAAATACATATGCTTGTTAAGTTTGGTCGAGCGATCAAAAGGATTAAGAGCAGTGATTTCGCTGAGTAATAGTGCGCGATGTTCATTTGGAGCCAAATGCATTTTTACATTTTTAGGGGAATAATTATTTCGTCAGAGTTGAGTAGCGGAGTACTTATCATCGGTTAGGGAGATGGCAATTGATGGCATTGAGTCCTGCTTGCCCTTTGATATCAGCGATAATTCTTGATCAGTTTATTTCTTACGATTGTGTAATACTTTCAAAGGGCTCAACATGGGTTCTTTCTTTCACTATTTTTTTGAATGATGAATTTGATCTTGGAGCAATTTTTTTGGTACCTGGGTCTCTTAATGTCATCTGGTAAATTCTTCAGTGGGTTAATTATCAGTGAGCAATAAGGAGGGTTCGTTGCTTTACATGAAGTTTTCAAATAAACTGTTGTTCTAGACGTACATTGTGGTTCACGATTCTGGTCCTTTAATCACACTCAACATCCTGATATTTTCATTGATCTTCCGATATCTCGTGAAGGTCGTCTTCTATCATACTAGTCATAGTATCTCCCATGTACATAACAAGCATCTGAAATCAAGATGTCTTCGATCGCATTCACTACATATTTCTGGCTGAGTTCTTGCGAGGTGTTTTTCTCAACGTAGCTTCAATTATTGTTGAAACCGAGAGGGTCTAACAGTGAAGACCGTGACCCAGAAATCTGGAATTTTCAATTTTAAATTGGAGTTGGAAAAGGAATAAAAGAATTGAGAACATCTCGGTGTTTGAAAGCAATTGAACATTCAAAATCTGGCAAAGTTTGGTAGCCAGGCGGTAATCCGGTGTGTCAGAAAATGTGTTGATCTTTTCGTCCGTTGATATGCCTGCAGTGCAGCTTTCAAGCTGACAGATTTTTCAAATATGTTTTATTTGAGAATACACTATTCTGAACAAAGTGTTTCTGTTTGGTAAGAATTAGCAAATATTACATGGGCCTACGAAAGTTCTTCGAGAAATTGTCCTCTCTTACAATACATATGATGTCTAGTATGACGGGGACAACATCGAAGCCGTATGCGAAATTCCTATTTTTAACTTCCTACAATAAGTTCTCACTTTCAGAGAAGATCCAAATATCAAGGTTTATGGTGGGAAGGTGGTTGCTGTGTGTTTTGGTCCGAATCGAAGATGAGTGACACCTTCCATCTGAAAGAGTAGTTTCGTAGTTTCATAGCTTCAAATACTGTAACCATCTAGATAAGCACACCTTCCAGAATGGAAATTTTACTAGTAGAATGTAGTCTCCCTGTAAGATTATTGCACATCTAAATTGTGTTTATTTGCGAATTGCGATATCAGCATTACATCTCCGCGACGAATTTCATCTCTGGACCTCTCTCTATCCAAAACAGCTTGATCTCACACTCATCTTCGTCGAAGCAACATCTTCGTCAAGGCCTCCAACTATAGACATGAAAGCTGTCTTCCAAGCTCCTGGGCTCCTTCGTTGTCCCACCGAATTCATTGCATGATCTTTCAGTTTCTCTCCGCCGAACATTTCTACGGTTTATTCTGGGCATGCAAGATTTTGAATGAGATTACCGAGCCGTTCTTGTACTCTGAGATTCAATTGAATTGGAGGAAACATTGGAGACCGCCCCGAATCATTTCACTCATCAAAATGTGCTCTCGAGGCCCCACCTAGCGATTCGTGTGAAAGGTCTCACGCTCGGTAGAAGCGGTGGCGAATCTATGCGTAGCATTGCCACAATTCGTGATATTAGACTCACCGTGGATGAAACCGACCTCGAACAATTGATTGAAGTCATCAAGACCTTCAAAATTGATTATGGAGAAGATATTTGGATCAGCGAATTGCGCAACAGAAATATGGACGCTTTCGTCGCCATCTTACTGTGTAAACTCCCGAATCTGATATACTTTCGATTGAATCCGAATTTTTTGCATAGCAGTGAAATCGTTGGCTTGGTTCTCAGATCGACCGTCTCCCAAGATTGCAATTTCAAAATTGCCTCTTTTGAACGACTTCAACATGTGACCTTCAAACGGACCACCATAGGTCGATTTAGACGCAGAACTTTCAACCCAGAAAACATCCTTGAGTTCCTCTGTTTTCCAAACATTGTTTGTCTATCGGCTGCAATAGATGCAGATCTTTACTGGAGTCCAGATTCAAGACTCGTAGCATCAACCGTTACGTCACTAGATCTTGACATGGTACAGGTTGGGATGCTTCATCAGATCCTAAGTGTTACGACTAGACTCAAAACTCTGCGCTGGAGATGGCATCACTATGGTAATTCTGAAGCTGAGATTCGATACGACGTTATCATCATGGCATTGCGGCTCGTTCGAGATACCTTAACTGACCTCACTATCTCCGCTGAAAATGAAGTGGTTAATGTGCATTCTCCTTGGGTCGAAGTCCGAGGATCATTAGGCGCACTCGTAAGTTTCACACCCTTGAAGAGACTTGAGATTAATTTAGAATTTCTGCTTGGATCTGTCTCAAGGCATCGACTTCGCGATTTTCCTCGAGTTGGCCAGACTTTACAATTTGAACGCATTGTGCCTAAGAATATCGAGGTTTTCACTCTCACCGATGATAAAGAACTAGACTGGCAAAACTTTGTTAATTATGACGTTGTATTCATGGCAATTCAATCTTGGTTGGGTGCTTGGAAAACCTCAACACCTGATCTTCGAAGCATTCGCTTTCTACTGATGTATGACTATCAGGAATTTGACTCTGCTCCCACCCGAGATCCACACAAACTTGATCGCACTATGCGACTGTCTCTCGATAGATTAAGTGCAGCAACGGGGGTTGGAATTGAAGTACGACAGATATATAGAACAGATCTTTGATCCATGTTGTTTTGCTTCCATTAAAGTTTCCGGAACAGATTGCCCAAATTTTGATGATTGGATCAAAAGAGATTTCTAAAATCAGGGAGGATGTTGGAAAAGAACTCGGCTCATAGTCCCCACACAGTGATCAAGCTTGCCGTACTAGCCGTGGTGGTTCGCCCGAGAATACAACTCGTCAAAACAGTATAGATATACTTTATGACTTCTACACATACAAACATAAAATCCGGTATCATCTTACTGCACATCATTATCGATTGACCCTCTAAAGATAATAAATTCTCGATAAAGAAGCTCTTATCGTCCACCCGGTTGAACATGCGGGGTCATGCTCGATACGCAGAAAATCTTGTGTTCTGATTGGTTAATGGTCAGGTACAACATATGTACAATATTGCACGGCAGTTGGATATTTTCTTATTGTCAAGGGTTTGAAATGGGAATACCTGCCTATCGCGGTTTTGCATAGCGGGCCTCTGTAGTTCTCTTGTTGGATACATGAAAATAATCGTTATCACTTGTTATCTTGCATTGTAGAGGGGGTATGTTCTGACATAGCTTATCAGGAGGGTTTGTGGCCTGTAGACAGTTCTTTAAATATGTACCTCCATTCTGAATTCAAACTCATTTCTATTCTATTCTTCGTGTTGCACCCTTTTGCTTGATCTGTATTTCCCGGACATATCATCATGGCTGGAGTTTTCAAGAGATTCCGAGCTCGGGATCCTGTTGTTCCAGGCAGTATTCCTTCACAGGATGACTCTATTGCAGAATCACGTACTCCACCAGATACCATCGGAAGGGCAGAAGAGAAGGATGACGCGGTGTCAACTGCTCGTGACATACAAGAGGCAGAAACGAATCGCAAATTGACCGCATTCGAGCAACTTCACAGATGGGATCCAAACCTAGGCCAAGATCAACTAGAAGAAATCGATGACGCCATCAATAGGCGAGACGGTAATGCTGAAGGAAGAATCTATGATGAGGTCTTTGAGAACTCGCCATATCCTGAGGTGAGGCGATGCGATTCTTGTTTGCTATTTCAATTGACTTGAGAATAGGTTCGTGCAGCGGTTAGGAATTATGACGAAGATCTTCCATGTAACACGATTCGAGCATGGGTAATCGGACTCGTTCTCAATACCATTGCATCTGGTCTGAACTCTCTTTTTTCACTCCGAGCTCCTTCTTTGACAATCACGTCCATCGTCGTACAAATGGTCGCATATCCTCTGGGGGTAGGCTGGACAATGATCTTTCCAGACCGGACCTACAGCACCTTTGGAGTAAAGTGGAATCTTAGTCCAGGGAAATTCAACATGAAGGAACATGGTCTCATTGTAATCATGGCCAATGCCGCATTTGGTCAAGGGGTGGCATATTTTACTGATACACTGACTGCCCAAAGAGGATTCTATGGACAAAACTTTGGTTGGGGCTTTAACATCCTACTTGCACTCTCCACACAATGTATTGGGTTTGGGATTGCAGGTATGATGCGGAAGTTTCTAGTTGAGCCCGCTTCTATGATCTGGCCGCAGAATCTCGTTAGCACTTCTTTCATTTATGCCTTACATGACCATAGCAAAACAGATCCTGCTAAGTCGAATGGTTGGTCCATAGCTAGATATAGATATTTCTTCTATGTCTTTATTGGATCTTTTGTCTGGTATTGGTTTCCAGGCTATATCGCACAGTTTTTGAGCGTTTTTTTCTTTTGTTACGTGGATTCGACCGAACAATGTTGTTCTCAATCAGGTTTTTGGTGGTTGGACGGGTATTTCCATTATCCCTATTACTTTTGATTGGACTCAGATCACGGGTAACTTATTACCCCGAGTTTAGGATTGTTGATCGAATACCTACTCACTGATTTCTAGGATACAACCTCCAGTCCCCACTCATTCCACCTTGGTTTGCCATTGCTAACACGGCTATTGGTACTGTCTTTTGGTTCATGATTGTGACGGCTGGGATTCATTTCTCAGGACACTGGTATGCTGAATGGTTACCTATTTCTGATTCGAACAGTTATGATAATACTGGTAAACATTACAATGTTACCAAGATTCTAACTCCAGAGTACACACTTGATATTGAGAAGTATAAGGTACGTGTTCTCTCGCTTAATGACAAGGGGTAAGCGGACGCTGACTTCATTATAGGAATATTCACCCTTATTTCTTTCGACTACCTTCAGCCTGTCGTATGGTCTTTCTTTCGCTGCTATTGCTGCAGTAATATTCCATACTATCTTGTTTCATGGTAAAGAGATCGTAAGTATAAGCTTCCCGATTTTAGGCCCGATTTGCTACACAAACTAACATCATATCTCTCAGTGGATACTCGCTCGTGCTATCCGCGGAAGCCTAGACGATAACCATACCAAAATGATGCGCAAATATAAACCCGTGCCCGGATGGTGGTATATCGTCTTCTTCCTCGTGATGATGGCTATGGCCCTTGCAGCTGTGTGCGCATATCCTACGCATTTGACATGGTGGGCATTAATCATCGCACTCATAATTTCTATGGTTTGGACCATACCAATTGGTATAATCTATGCGACAACCAATATACATCTCGGTCTCAATGTCTTCACTGAATATATACTAGGATATATGCTTCCTGGTCGTCCAATTGCTCTCATGCTGTTCAAAACATACGGATACATTACTATGAATCAAGCACATGCTTTCTTATCCGATCTGAAACTCGCTCATTACCTCAAGATCCCTCAGAGACCAGTCTTTTGGGGCCAATTGGTAGCAACGATTTGGAGTTGCTTTGTTCAATTGGGTGTTTTGGAGTGGGCGTTGGGTCATATTGAAGGTATATGCACCAGCGACCAGAAGAATAATTTTACCTGCCCTGGTCCGAGAGTCTTCTTTAACGCTAGCGTAATCTTTGGATTGATTGGTCCTCAACGCATCTTTAGCTCTGGAGCTATCTATGGCTCTCTCCAGTATTTCTGGCTAGCAGGTGCACTTCTTCCCTTCATCATATATTTCCTCGCACGAGCTTTCCCGAAGTCGAAAGTACGATTTTTCAGCGCCCCGATATTCTTCGGTGGTATGTCAGAACTACCACCTGCTACACCACTAAACTACTTAAGTTGGTGTCTGTATGGTTTCATCTTTCAGAAATATATCAAGAATCGATGGAGAGGATGGTGGATGCGGTTCAATTATATCACGAGTGCGGGGCTAGATGCTGGATTGGCGATCTGCACGATTGTTATTATCGCAGCTTTGAATTTGACGGGAACGGGATTTCCTGATGTGAGTTAATCTCGTCCCAGTTATATTGGATTGGAGTGAAAGGCTAATTATAATTTAGTGGTGGGGAAATAGCTCACCAAGGAATACAATGGACTATCTTGAGACAGCAGTGCAGAGAAAGGTGGGCACTGGGGAGATTTTTGGGCCACCAAAAGGAACCTGGGGATAGAAGAAGTGCTTGTGTATTCCTCGCAATGGCCTCAGATTTCGGATGCATCATATGGTAACCCGAGTTGACAGGATGGAAACTACAAGTGGAGAAACTTAATCTGGTGTGTTGACGAATATTGATACACTACCTAAAAAGTCAACGAAGAATAGGAATACTTGTTTATAATAAAGACTTAGTCTAATTGTTTAATGCAAACAGATCAGTTGAGTATTAAATGGCCTATTGCTAGCGACATGAATGTCTAAGACCATCATGAGCTGTCGAAGTATGGTCACCCTATGTGTAATCAAAAGTTTTTGATAAATTTCCAGACGCATACAAGTTGTGATCGAAAACCTTGCTGGAAAAGTAGTAATAAGAAACGGCCTAAATCATCTAGAGAATGGATATTCTCAGTACCTCCGGCTTTTGTATATTTCATACTTCTCTTTAGGGATTGCGGAACATGGCTAACTAATCGCAAGCTGGAGGGTTTCCACCCGGAATCACCGATTTCGAAATCATTGATATGATCATATGCATTCAATTGTGCAAGCCGGTGAATAACACCATTCGGATTATGTAACTCGGTTCGCTGACTCCATGCAAATCGTGAGCTCTTTCATCTTTGTAATCATCCAAAAGTATCCCTAGCTAATAGTAAGAGAAAGTCCTGCAATTGACTTATGTACCTCTCCTGATATCGATAGCAGTAATGCAGTTAAATCATTGTCCACAGTGCTCCTTGCTAATGTAGGTTATTCAGATCCTGCGGTTATCTCGTAGTCAAATATGAATAGAGAGTACAGCTGCGAGAGAAGATGAGCTATTCCAGCGAACAAACCACTCACATATTGATCAACAATAGAGCTGGCGCCGAAGGAAATGGACCAACTTTGTTCTCTTCTCGCATATCAATGGATCACATGATGTCACAAGGCACGTGCTCCCGCCGGACTAAACCTCGGCTCGGATGTGTTCTTCATTTGCGGGGGAGCTCCACTCTACTACTTCCCCATACTAATAATGCTCCCCTTTCAATTAAACTCCGTCTCTGCCATATTTACATCAATAAACAGAAAAAGGACTTGACAAAGTTATCCAGAAATTATCACACATTTCACCAAAATTAATCATGGCATCCCCGACTGCACCCCCCGAAACCACCTCTTTTCTCCTCACCTACCCAACACCTCAAATCCTTCTCGTGACCATCAATCGTCCGCAAGCCATGAATTCCATAACCAGTTTCGCCCATTGGGAAGCCGATGCTATTCTCACCTGGTTTGACGATTCCCCTGATTTGCGCGTTGCCATTATTACCGGAGCAGGAGAAAAGGCATTTTGCGCCGGCCAAGATTTAATCGAGCAAGCTAAATTTAAAATTGATCCTCCGCCAATGTCGACTCGAAGACATCCACCCAGCGGATTTTGTGGAATTAGTAGGAGAGTGGGCAAGAAGCCAGTTATTGCCGCGGTCAATGGGTTTGCGCTTGGTGGGGGGTTTGAGATATGTTTAAACTGGTATACTATAACCGCTACTTCTCGGATGCTGAGATGCGTATAAACTAATACCTGTTAGTGATCTGGTCGTTGCATCTCCGTTGGCAACATTTGGTCTTCCTGAAGCTGCTGTAGGCCTCTACGCCGCAGCTGGTGGTCTTCCGCGCATAGTGCGCAATTGTGGACTTCAAATAGCTACAGAAATCGCATTGACTAATCGGAAACTTACCGCCAAGGAAGCACTTTCATACAATCTAATTAACAGAATCGCTCAATCACCAGAAACGGTATTGAAGGAGAGTGTGGAGCTCGCAGAGAAAATTGCTGCTTTGAGCCCGGATGCGGTTATCGTATCGAGAGCGGGATTGAGAGAGGCATGGGAGACGGGGAGTGTAGAAAGAGCTACACAGATTGTTGCACAGAGGTATGATCAGCAATTGTTTGAGGGTGAGAATATGCAGATTGGGTTAGAAGCGTTTGCAGGGAAGAAGAAGCCTCTATGGGTGCCGAGCAAGATTTGAGTAGCCCGCGGCTAGTTGATGCTTTAAAAGCTGACGTCGAAGATCATATTTGTCTCATGCACAAAATAATACAATACACTACATAAAAAACAATTTATAATGGAAATACTTTAACTATCGGAAACCATTTAAGGATTTAATATGAAAATGGATTTATCAAATGGAATCAAGCATGATCCGTCTACGCTTGATAAAAGATTGCCTCGCTGCTTTCCGGGCCCGGTGTAGCAAAAAGTTGATCTTCACAGTTCGATTTATGAAGCAAGCTGATGTAATTGCACTATCCCTCGTCATGATGGCGCAATTCTATTATTCTGACCACGGCTCTTGTGCTTCTCATGTCTATTGAGTAGAGCAAAAAGACAAAACAGTACTAACAATGAACGAGAGATCGCAGAACTAAAATCATCTGACCTAGCACAGTGCGTCCAACTTGGTACAAGACCTCATTCGAAGTTCATAGCATCTATCCAGAACGGCCTCAATCAGGTCTCGTATTGTCAATATAACAAGCATGATTTACGGGGAAAAGCAGCAGAGGACTAGGAGATATCATAGATGAATGTGCAGAGGTTTTGAAGAACCAAGAATCAGAGTTTCCAACAGTCTGAATCCTGAATACCCTGCCAGGAATGAACAGTTTGTGCACGGGTTCATATTAAGGCTAAACAGATAATTGGATCCTGTCTGCAAATCCATCTTTTTATTACTACAAGGAAGTGTTGTAAGCCCAGAGCATGACCAAATATGTGCAGGAGAGCCCTTGATTGATGTTAATAAGATTGTGAATGCGAACTCGAAGACCTTGGAAGAATATTGAATTATCTGGAAAAGCTTTTCTTGACGAGCTTCAAGAAATAAGTTGTAAAGATTCCAGATTTGTACGACAGCCGACTACAAATGCAATCGTTCACTCAGTTGTCTTCCGCTAGTGTGTATATGCTCAATCCTTTCATTTATCCCAGGACCTCCGAACGATCTGATACATTGTACGCCCGGTCCCCCATAATAGCCCAGTTGGCATGCCAAGTAGCCAACCTTCTAAAACGATTTTTGTACCAAGTCCACTGAGGATGTTTGCCAAACTCAATCTTGGCCATATCTGAATCCGGAAAATAGCTTCTCGCCGCCTCATACAAACGCTCCGTTGAAATTGCTGCACCCCAAAGATCTCTCACGGACTCAGCCCTTGAGTTTACAATGATACTTCAGGAGTGTTTCGGAAGACCTTCTCCATACGGCTTGCGAACTATCGCATAAATATCAAAGCACATCTACGTACACTGGCATTGATTCCGGGACGTTAGGTAGACTTATTGATACCGTGCTCCTGCGCCAGTACCGGCCGAGATGCCACAATATCGGCATTGTTCAGACATAATGCAGGAACGTACCGAAGACGAGGTATATTACACAGATGAAAATCCCTCAAATGTAGAGATGCACAATGTAAGTCTTACAATATAAAATGCACAAAAAATGTAAAATTGCAAAGAATATCTGCCTACCCAGATACTTATGAGAGGATGTACAATGTAGATTATGTGAGGCATTGAAGGGATGCCACATAGTACGTAGTATCTTCAACATCATCAATCTCTTTCTCTTCCACCCTCTCTCCGTCTCTCTCTTTCCCTATCAAATCGATACAACACCAGATGCGGTTATCTATAGAAAGGTTGATTCTTGAAGTTCTCATTGTTTGGTTGCTATTGGCGATAGACATTTACATACCCAATACGAATGAATTACAAATGAAAATCTCAACGGTTTAAAGTCGGTAGCTTGATAATCCACTAGACCCATAATTATCAATTTAACTCTTTTCATTGGTTAAATCGTCTCAAGGGTCCCCTCCCCACCCAAATATCTCCAAATTCCTCCATCTCCCTTCAGACTTCCCCCAAAACCCCAGAATATTAATCAAAACATTACTTCATTTTTAGGTGTAAATTGATGTAAAAATTATTATATTCAGGGCAGTTTATTCACGCCCTAGTTAACCATGACTTCATCACGACCACCACCGACTTCCCCACCTTTACGATCAAATTCCAGAACTCCAAGTCTGCGAAATCAAAATGTTTCGCAATTCACACCGACACATCCTAGCGGATTGAGAGAATCTTTTACCCTTGCGACGAGTCCGGAGGCGGCAAGACATGTTGAAGAGGATGGTACAAATGACAGGAATGATGAGAACTCGAGGAACGATAGTGAGCAACCATTACCGCATGCCCATCCTACTCGCGCCGATACATCTGCAAGCACAGATGATGGACTCGACGGCTATACGCATGAACACACTGGGTTTGGAGGTAAGCTCTCCGATGAGACCACCGCTTTACTGAGGAAGCCTTTTGAACCGATTGGCAATGCGGCAAATCCTGGACCTTGCAATCATGGAACGTTCAGCCCGAGGCTGGGGAGTCGTGCGGACAGTGTAAGGAGCTTTGGAGGTTCTGCGCCTGTATCTCCCAATGGCAACGGAGAGGCTAGTGACGGGCTGATTGGAGGATTACTTAAAGGCTTAGGAGTGAGGAATGGTCCAATGGCAAAGCCAAAGAGGATGAGCACGACAAGTTGGCTCGCAGAACAACATGGAATTACCAACACTACTGGAATGTATGTATAAATACTAAGCTGCCAGGATCGCGTATAGAGTTTTGCTAACGGTTTCTTGGGTAACAGGTACATAAATTACTACATACCATTTTTCACCTGGATTCGACAATATAGATGGGTACATCTTCGGGGCGACCTAATAGCTGCTATCACAATGGCTTCCTTCTACCTACCTATGGCTCTTTCTTATGCATCCAACCTCGCACACGTTCCGCCAATCAATGGTCTTTACTCTTTTGTTTTCAATCCACTTATATATGCTATATTTGGAAGTTGCCCACAAATGGTTGTTGGTCCTGAAGCCGCGGGAAGTCTGTTGGTTGGCTCGGTTGTGAAATCTACTGTCGACATCGGCGATGGGGGCGAAGAAGACGATTTAATGCACGCAAGAGTTGCCGGTATCGTTACCGGTATGGCAGGAGCAGTAATCTTCATTGCTGGCTTAACTCGCCTAGGGTTCCTGGACAGTGTGCTAAGCAGACCATTTTTGAGAGGTTTTATTTCTGCCATTGGTTTTGTCATTATGGTCGATCAATTGATACCAGAGATGGGATTGGCAGCACTGGCAGATGAAATGGGAGGTGTCGCTCATGGCAGTAGTGTTGACAAGTTGGGCTTTTTGATTCGCAATGCAAGCAAAGCGCATAAGCTTACTTGTATTGTTGCTGGTGTCAGTTTTATCATAATTATGATCTTCAGGTATGTGGGACCAAAGATCTTAGTTCCGCTCACTACTAATTTGATTCAGAGAGATGAAAAAGCGCCTTCAACCTCGATATCCAAGTGTTGCATACATACCCGATAGGTTTCTAGTTGTGGTTATTTCGGCTATTCTAGCCTGGAAATATAATTGGGAAGACCTCGGAGTTCAGATCCTGGGTGAGGTAAAATCGACTGGCGGAGCGCCATTTACTTTCAGATGGCCATTCCAAATTTCTCATATGAAGCATGTCCGAGAATCTATGGGAACATCTTTCTTGATCGCGCTTCTCGGCTTTTTCGAGTCGTCCGTAGCGGCTAAAAGTCTTGCTGGTGCAGAGGGGAAAGATTTGATCCAAGGTGTACAGCTCAGTCCGAATCGAGAATTGGTCGCTCTTGGAGTTGCAAATTTAGTTGGTGGCTGCTTTCAAGCAGTTCCTGCATTTGGTGGGTATGGTCGAAGCAAAGTTAATGCTAGTACTGGTGGAAAAACTCCCATGAGTAGCATTTTCTTAAGTTTGTTAACCGTGCTCTGCATTCTGTTCCTCTTGCCTGCGTTCTATTATCTTCCGGTATACCTCCATAATTTCCCGTACTTTTTTCCTAAGCTAATATTGTCCTAGAAAGCGGTTCTCTCCTCAATGATTACGGTGGTAGCCTATTCTTTAATCGAAGAAGCTCCGCATGACATAGCATTTTTTGTTCGGATTCGTGGATATACTGAACTGGGCCTTATGTTTATTATCTTTGCCTCGACTATCTTTTACTCACTCACCCTTGGTATCGCTATCGGAGTCGGTCTCTCTCTTCTATCCGTTATCAAACACTCTACTCGTCCTCGTATCCAAATTCTAGGCCGTATTCCCGGTACCAATCGTTTCGAAAACGCTGAAGACAATCCAGAGAAACTGGAATTCATCGAGGGATGTCTTATTGTTAAAATTCCCGAACCACTTACTTTCGCCAACACTGGTGATCTCAAAAACCGACTAAGACGATTAGAATTATACGGCACAAATAATGCCCATCCTGCACTACCTCGCGTACGATCTCCTGAACACAACAAAAATATCATATTTGATATTCATGGCGTCACAGGACTTGACGGTTCGGGTACACAGGTTTTAGAGGAAATCGTAAGAGGATATAGAAATAGAGGTGTTAGAGTATTTTTCTCCCGTGGTCCTCAAGAAGGAACTCACATTTGGAGATTATTGGAACGAAGCGGGATTTTGGAAACTTGTGGAGGCAGAGAACATTTCGTCAAAGACGTGGAAGAGGCATTGAGATTGACGGAAACTGTAGTCGATCCAGATGCCACTAATCTAACCAATGATTCTGTGGGTACATGATTGTATATATTTACAGCGGGTTAGCAGGTGTTGTCGCCGAAAATTTGGCGGATTAGTCGATTAGTCGCCGGGCTAGAGATTTCCTTTTTTTTCTTCTTGATATTTGTTTATTTGCTTGTTGATTGGGCTGTGTGTGGATTGGCTATTATATGATTGATGAGCGAATGAGCGAATGAGCGATCATTGCTTGGCGCATGGTTTGGTGATTGGCCGATTGATGAGCGATTTGTATTCAATGATGAGATGAGATGAGATGAATGAAGATTTGTATATATTGTATGTAGCATGGGATGGTAATTTGGAATGGCAAGTAATAATAATGTTGTCGATATTTTTAAATTTTAAAGGCGAAAGGCGAAAGGAGAGTTGTACAATTTGGTGTGAATGTGTTGAAACCTTTCATTTTACAATTGTAATACTTCTGCTATGCTCTGAGGGACAATGTTAATAGTAGCATGCTATCATTGGAATCTAGATAGTATTTTCAGGCAAAATTACATGCAATTCACAAATGTTCATATACATGCTTGTTTCAAAAATACATCCTCACACCACATTCTCACTTCCAACACCCAACGCTGATATAGACTAAGATAGGTAGGTAAAAAGGTTACATAGTATATACATTTGAATCATAGATACCAAGGAAGATCATATATATCTGTATCGAGTAAAGTAGAAAAAGATACACACATCCAACTCCAGATCATCAAGTCTCCATTTCCTTTCCTATCTGTTCCCTCCGGTCCATTTCATGAATTCCCTATCCTATCCTTTTCTGGCCCTTCCCATTTTCAGATTTCCAGTTGAGGGTCTCCGATTTTCATATTCATATTCATATTCGTGTTCCCAATCCGGTATCCATCCCTTTCCTTCCCAGCCTATCCCATCCCATCCCATTCCGTCGAGTTCATCGCGCACTGCAAGAAAGCAAAAGCGCGCCAAGAGAGGAAAAAAGAGAAAAAAGAAAATCTCATAAAGCTAGACCCGTTCCATCGCCCGTCCAGCGATATAGAGAGAGCACTTCTCTCCGCTTCAACTGTTGCTCGTTGAAGTCTTCTGGGATGCGGCCGCGCACCTGTGCGAGTGCTGAGCGCATTACTTTGCGGAAATTGCGCTGGAGTTTTATGTTAGTTTTTTGCGGATGCGATATCAAGGGTGGAGAGGGGAAGAAAGGGGTATGGGGTATGGATCAACGAATAAATGAATCAATGCGAAACTAACCTGGTATTCTGTATTCAGCGTCGCGACACAGGCTTCGTGGGCTCGGACGATAGTTTCACAGGCTTTTACTACGCTGGGTGATGCTTCGACCTATTTGTTGATGTTAGTTTCATGGTTCACATCATTTCTCTGGAGGAAAAAAAATGTAGACGGGAAAGAAACATACCTGAAGTTTATCGGCGATAAGTAACAACAGAAAGCTACCCTGCAACAAATACACACCAAAGAAAAACGGCATAAACTCCAACCCGGGATCGTATTCCAATATATTGTTTATGGCTTCTGCTGCACTAACAGCATGTCCCGTTGCGTTGATAAAACTCTGCGACGAGATCCATAGGTCGTTATCATCAAGTAAAGAAATCGGGTCCCATTTTCCCGTTAGTAAGATGTGAAGAACATGCATGACATGTGTACCGTAAGCTACCACAATCCGTGTTTGGATATTGGCTTCGGAGACGTGACTGGAGGATACGGTGTGAACTGAATGAACTGAAGGAGAGCCGATATCGTTGTGTTCGAGAGATTTGTTTGGTGTAGAGGATGAATTGTTTCCTTCCATGTTTTGATCTTTTTGGTCATCTGGCAAGGGGGGAATTTGCTCCAATTCAAAGGCTCGTAGACTCTGGCCATAGGCATCGAGTTGTTTTGCGATTTCGTTAGCATGATCATCCCACTCGCGAGCAGAGCGAAAGCCAATGCCAAATCGAGGATGGTTTTTGGCGTGGTAGAGGTCTACGATCTCGCCGAGAATCGTCATGAGGGGTAGGAAGTATCCGAATATACTATGTCCAGTACACTCAAAGTTAGGTCCGTGCCTCCGTATACGATGAGTGCCCGAAGGGGAAGTAATATGAATGCTTGAATCACCAGTATAGTATTCTCCAGCCTGCCACAATGCGTCATCCATTGGCTGGAGAAGACCATCACATTCTATATCTAACAGAAAGAGTGGCCTGTTGTAACACAACGCGAGGTGCCTGTCCACTGTATAACAAAGCCACCATATCCTTCTTCTCTCTTCCCTCTCTTCTTCAGATATCGGCCCTGGAGTTCGAGGTAATTCATCATCATCTTCTCCATCAGCATCCACATCATTGGCTCCTTCATTTGGTTGTTCTGGAGCCATGGGTGCTGAATGGTGGGGTAATTCCCTTCCTAATTTAAGTTCACGAGCTAATGACCAAGCCGCATTCCACCAACGCAGGCTCGCTCCTTTGTACTCGCTAGCTGAAACAACAGTAGCGAGATGAATATAAGTTATAACATCGTCAAGAGTGCCAGCTGCACCAAAAGCACCTGTTTCATTCAGTGTATCTGTAGATACCGAACCAGGCATTGCTACACCAAGACCACCCAACCGCCACACCATATTAATGACAGTATTAGAGAAATTGGAAGCAGATTCATTGCTTCCGGACGTTCCATGAATGAGAGGTTTAAGAAGACCGACAGTGAGTTCGAGTAATTTTTGACAAATTCGTCCACGGGATGATGGACTGGCTGTTAGAAAAAGCTGCGTCACTAAGTTTGTGCACAACCCATAATATGCTAGCAAGTAAGGCAGGCGTACATTGCCGAGGTTTCGTAGGGTTAAGTATCGAGTGTTTGCGAAAGACGTATCCGAGAATATAAGGAGAGGTAGGGTGCATCAAAGCTGATGACGAGCTTGCTAAATATAATTCGAGTAAATCACAAGCTAAAGGGATGGGAATGATACTGCCAAGGTGAGGTACCAATGGCTGTAGCACGGGATATCGTAGAGGTGCATTGAAGTTCTGATGTGTCACGTGTTGGTACTGGTTTGAAGGAGAGGGTAATGACATCCACCCACCGGGTGAAGGGGCCTCAGAGCCCATAGGAAAACCGGTCAAAGGGCTTTCGGCTAAACGAAACTGACCTTGGGTATTACCCGTAAAATTAGGCGGGCTTTGGCCCTGTATAGCATAGGGTAGATCTGAATAACCGGTCTGCGAGGTGTTAAAGTTTGTATGACTGCCACTGCCGTTCATCATGTGGGGATTTAAGGTAGAGCGGTAACCGTGCATGCTTGAATAGCCATGCAAATTCAGGGACCCAGGACTCCCGATTTGATCGACGTCTGCGCGGCTAACGTGGGGCGAATGTCCTTGGGATGGTACTTCTGTGAGGCTTTCGAGACTACCAGCACGAATTCTTCCTTTCATCAATTCACGAGCTGAAGGCTTTTCAACGGCGGCTGTGTTAAGACTTAAAGACCTAGATGGTGTATGTCGTGGGAATTCAACATTTTCGTTTGTCAAGGAAATGGCGGAACTTGGATCATTGCGGGACTCCACGGGCGATCTCTCTTCGGACGATTGATCAGTAGGTGATTTTTGTCCATTGGCAGCGGCGGCGGCGGCGGCTTGTTGTGCAAGATCTTTTCGGGAAGCTTTTCCTCGCTTTTTTCGTTCACGGATATACTCGCATCCTAGTCCAAATTCTGTATCCTCATGAGCCTTATCCGTTAGATCTCAATGAAAATACTTACCGACACAATGAGCGCAGGGACTTTGACCATCGCATTTAGTTCTGAGCTGATTACACTGGTCGCAAGCTCTGCTGATTCTTCTTCGAATTGGTCCAGAATTCCCGGTCCCTCTGGCAGATGTAGCGTTGCCTCCTGGAATTCCCATTGCATAAGGATGCTGTCGATGTTTTGAAGTAGCATTTCTGTGACCCTGTGAGTTTTGACGAATGTCCACTTGTTGTTGGTGAAGCTGTGAGATAGCATATTGTGAGCCATGAGCAAGAGTATCTAAGCCTGAAGTGTGCATATGATTAGATGGTAAGTGCCCGTTAGACAGCATATTGTTTGAGGGCATAGTATTATATGCCGAGAAACGATGAAGGGGGTTGGAAAGCATTTTGGAGTTGGTGCGCAAACAAAGTTGCTAGAACAAGGTTGGTTTGAAGAGACTTAATCTAGCTGTGATGGAAGCTCTGTTAATGGTTGACAGATTCAATAGTTGACAGATGACGAGCTTTCTAGAAGATGCAAGTAAATAAGGTTCTAAGATGATTGTAAGAGTGCGATTCGAGCATCTATATCTCCTGAATACGGCATGGAACTGACATATACCTTGGCTCCCTGTATATCAGCAGGACCGTCTTGGAAGGGGAAATAAAAAGCTAAAATAATAGCCACAAGGTGACAGGGCAATGTCTCTAACATGAGCTCATGAACTAATAAAGTCTATGAACTATATGGCGGGGTTCGCATGAAGTACCGGTAAAGGATAAGAGGCATGTTCCTTTCCTTAAGTTTATTGATCTTGACTTGTGTAGAGAACAAGGATTAAGAAAATCAGCGAATAGGTCCAGGGTATGCAGATGCTTGTCCTTTGGTCTCGGAGAGCCTACCCCACGGTGGCATCACCTCCGAATGTCTTTTCCTTCGGTCATACTTTTCCGAAAATCTTGAAATCGAAGATTGAATCATCAAGGGTGCTCTGATGGTTGGTGTGAACAAGGTTTGAATTTTTTGTTGAAATTCCATCACTCAACCAATAATACTCAATATGAATGAGGGCGGCCAGTGACAATGTAGGCATAGGGTATGTATGATGAACATAATATCACTTATCGTTTTTTCCTTTCTCTCTCCTACAGCACTTTCATAATCTCGTTGTTTCGTTTTGCCATTAAATCAATGACTTGGTTGAGGTTGACATGGGGTCCAAATATGTAAGAGACTAGCAATAGCTCGTTTAGCTAGCTGTTGGTGGAGTGGAGAACGGAGTGGAGTGAGTCTCTGGCGAAATCTTAATATTTGCCATCCGTCAACTCTATTCAGTGGATTGAGAAGGATTGGACAAAGGAAAATTAGTCAACTCGGTAGGACACGGCTCTATCCTTCAATTGGCAGTTCTCAATCTTGTCAACAGTGTTCTAGTGTTCTAGTCCATGAGCTTGCGCAATAAGTCACCCCCAAGAAAACGGGATCAGGGATACGATCTCTACTATTGTCTCTTAGTAGTGTTGCACACATGAAGGAGTGAGATAATCAGGAAGTTGTCAAGACAATCCAGATTCCACATCCTTTGAAATCGAAATTCTCATATGAGTGATCATCAGGGCCCCCCTCAGGTCAACCCAGTTCAACCCAAATCGACCCCCTCCTCCGAGGTTGGTGTGACCAGGAAAAATTTAAGAAATTTTAAGGACGACAGTCATCGTTGTTGGGACAAGGTAATGATCTGTGTTCATTTCCCCCCTCGAGACCTTATTTCTCCATAGCATTTTAGAATTACCCTTCCCCACACCCCTTTTCATCTTAATATACTCGGTACATCGAGTTGAGACAAATGCGAAAGAAGAGGTGAAAGTGGGTGGTGTCAATTTAGTGATGATACGGTGCTGAGATCCGTAATGTGCTGTGCAAGTCCGTTTCTCAATGAAAGCTTGCCTGCTTGCTCGTTTTCTTTCTTTCTCTCTTAATTAGATATTATGTTGTGGTAGTATATGGTATGTGTGTACTCGGTATGAGTTTGTGCTCCAACTCTATTTTGACAATTAACGCGCCAATGAAGCATCAACATTTGGTTCAGTTCCCGCTTTTCTAGAAGCCGTAATAGATCTTTGGAGACCTTTCTCATGTATTTTGATTATGGAATTCAAAGTGATTATTCCATCGTAATCCATCGTAATGGTGCGCATAATATTTGCAATGTTGAGGTAGGTACATCAAGTCCCCCTCTCTGATCGCCATTTTCAGCCCGAGGTAACTTCCTTTCGGGCACCACACAAGATCCCCACACTTCAATCATCATCAATCCAAATTCTGGCTTTGTGGTCAGCAGTTTCCAATCTTCAACGCAGCATTCCATTAGCAGCATCTTCCCGGACACAACCTCACATGTTCTGGGAAGATCAATGCAACAAACACATGCAAACAACATTCACGACACAGTAATAAGATTATGGATAGCAAATAGTACGTTAGCGAGGTTGGGTACTCGAGTCTAGCTGGTGCTGAATGCATGTCAATTCTCATACATACTTACTTACCGAAAAGGAATCGGATATGGTACGACCAGTATTGTTCTCATTGAATTGTTAGTGGTTATTCCTGGTTACTTGACCATCCAAGCACCAAACGGTCCGATGTTCCTCGTCCTTATTCGAGCTTGCTCGTTTGCACATGCTTTCGCTTGCACTTTTATAAGTGTTGCTCTAATCCCAATGTGACTCTGTGCCCGACCCCAACTTCTTGGCAACCCCATATTGATTGTGTTGATTTGATGAAAGCTCGTAAGCAAAGTCACATTTTAAGCCGTGATCAATAAAACAATTCATAAATTCACTCTCTATCTCATCTCCAAGGTCGGTAACAGTCGGGTCACGTCAGGCTTTCGAAAAGGTGCAGCATGCAATATGCACATCCAACAGAATCCTGAAGGTCTATCCTTCTCCAGATCAGAAAGATCCCCACGTATTACCAGGTGCGAGGCCTTGATAAGCGTGAGAAAACTGGAACTGCCATATGCAGGTGCAGCTGTTAGTAGGACCAAAATGCGGAGTCCCGAGGAGATCCATGTTAAATTTCCCCGTGAAATTCCCCATTCCTTGAGATTCAGAAGTAACTCTGTTCTTCTCCAAAGTCGGTACTTACTTCTTCTTCCTTTCAGTCAATATCGGTTGAGGTGACATTAGATTTTGTCATCATGCGAATCATTCATTTCATTCATTTCAGGCAGGGGTGGCAGATTGTTGGTATCTAGATGTGACAATCCTACTTTCCATGGTCCCTTGTAATATCATGTGCCAGGATGAGATATAACGTAGGCATTTCGTCTCGGACTCCGTGTCTAGGTTGTCAAAGATATTAGTTAGATGATAAGCTTTAGCCAGCCACCCGAGAAGCGCAATATGGCCCGTGTCTCTTCAGGAGCCGAAATCCGCCGCCATCGAGGTGGAAATCTCAAGGCTGGCGCGATATACTAAGGTTATCCAGATGAAAATATACGTGCCATTATTATACATTGAGACCATCCCGGGGACCCCTTTTTCTGAACCAAGTGCGTCGTGAGGTTGTCGAATCATGAGTAAAAGAAATGACTGGACCCGTGTACTGATATATTGATTTTCCAACCAGTTGACCAATATTGAACATTAAAACCACGGAAAAATCTCCGATTACTCCACGTTCTAGTGAAACCTGAATCGTGAGAGAAGCGCTGCGGTGAATGGGCCGATGTTCCCGCACTTTTTTTTACCTTGTTACCCCAGATCAACGAGCCTCTTGCCATAAGTCTCACAGCTTGATAATCTTTATGTTTTTTGGTTGACTTTCTTCACTCTCAAACACCAGCTGACTTGAAGATCCTTATTTCTTACTTTCTTAACATATGGTGATCACGACCTGAATCTTAGATCGCACCAAACACGAATTCGGAGGGTCGGAAAATGTTTACCAATGTAGAAACTCATATCGGTCCTTCGATGGCGAAAAACTGATATCGGAGGAATTCGAAACAGTTTGATGACTTAGTAGATTCCATTCTGGAACTAGGATGGAATTGAGGTGGGATCACAAAGTAAGATGCATTTCCCCCCAGCCACACGTGTTAACAAACATGCTGAACAAGACCGTCAGAAGCGCCTTTTTCGATGCAAAGATGCTCTCATAGGAAGATTTTCAAAATTGTACAATGAGTGTTGGGATATCTTTTGGAGGTCAGACGCTGATATCCATGACATGGCATGCCAACTCGAGTGACAATTCTGATGTCGTGTCACTCTGAATTACTCGAGGCGATGTGGTACTGCATTTGAAGTCAACATGAGATCAATGTCGCAGTATTGTAAGGTGGGACTAGGTGTATATGGTACCACCACGATCCCACCACGTAGGTTTAGTAATTCTGGATAGTCATCCTTTGAGCACTCTTGATGGAATGATCTTTTGGGGTCGATCTGAACGGTGCGAATGTCGGCACCTATTGAAGTGTCAGCCGTCAGGAACACCATCACTAAACCACATGTTAAGAGGTCAGGCCGTTGGGGCGCTTGTAAGGCAATTAGAAATTGAAACCCAATACTCATCTTTTCAATCCCAACTTCGTTTCTTTAACTTAAGCCGAATCCCTATGGTTATGCCTACAGATATTGAATTCTAGACTGTATTGAGATCCTACCTACTTGGGAAGGTACTTCAAAGGTTACTAGGGGTAGTACCTCGAAGGCATTGAGCTTCATAACAAGCATGTGAATATGTTATTCCTTGAAAACATGATAAAGAGGACTGCCGAACATGTACAGCCGAAATGATAATGAATGGATGCCCGATCCCGAATGTCAACCTTGTCTGTTCATAGGTACTTGAAGTATCTTGCCTAGGAACAAAGTCTCCGAAAATTATCAAGGTCTCGTTATGCAGTAGCTGCTGGTAGTAGATGGACGATATATATTAGAAGGTCGAGATTATCTCGTGCGTGAGATGAGTGTACAGATAAAGTACAACTATCAATATACGATGTACACCTAGTATTTAAGACCGTTTCAAGGAATGGCAAATTTTGTTGATATGGGTTGACTTACAAAGTGATGGGTAAAATTTTATCATTTGTCATCCATCATCAGAGCCAAGATTAGAGGTGGCTCTCAAGACGAAGATTGATTGGTGGTCCAGTGGGATCATGTGATTTTTGGCAGAGTTTAACTAGTACTCCGTAGTTCGCTCATATCTCGGCTTCCAAGGTTCTAGACGTCATTGCTTCATTACTGGGAATAACCTCAAAAGGATATCAAGACATGTCAAGATATGGCCCATCCTTTTGATCTGTTCCACTTTCTTATGTAATACCATGTTTACTCAATATTTTGTTGATGAATCTTTGTTTCTTTTCTGATCGGACAATTTCTCCATCTTACCACTAAAGTATCAAAGGATTTGTAGTTTCATTTTGAGTTTCTTGTTGATGAGAAATCAACGTTTTTGATTAAGTAAACTTCTCCATCAAAGAGAATGCTATCAGACAATCTCAATGGTCAAGAGACCATATCTCCGATGTGTCTACATCATCAAACTAGGAGATACTAAGTTGTGGACCATGAACAATCCACCCAGGCGGGGTGATCCCAACGATCATGTTCTTTGTACTTGGTATATATCTGCTATTCACATCTTTATCACATTAACACCATTGGCAGCTTTATATTCCCGTTCATTGAACCTCACACTTTACTCACATTTACATATATAACTCACAACTAATCAACATGTCCCAATCAATCCCCGAAACCACCAAAACTTGGAGAATCGAAGGAGCAAACGGATTTGATAGCTTGAAATATGATACTCAAGCTACACTTCCAGAATTGGGTGCTAACGACGTTCTTGTGAAACTTCACGCTGCTTCATTGAACTACAGAGATTTGATAATACCCAAGGTAAGTGTGCAAAACCAATGCTTCCTTTGATAGCACTGCTCCCGTAGGTAAAACTAATCACTTATTCTCTTCCCTAGGGTCAATATCCATTTCCACTTAGAGATGGCATAATTCCCGGCTCTGATGGTGCTGGTGAAGTCCTTGCTGTTGGATCAAAAGTAACTCGATTTACCCCCGGTGCCAAGGTCCTTACCCTTTTCAGTCAAACTCACTATGGTGGTTCGCTCGATCATTTATCTATCCAAAGTGGCTTGGGTGGTGCCGTGGATGGTACGCTTCGTCAACATGGTGTCTTCAACGAAAATGGGCTCGTAGACATGCCTTCCTCCCTTTCATACCTCGAAGGAGCAACTCTGCCATGTGCAGCCGTCACAGCCTGGAATGCTCTATATGGATTAAAGCCGCTGAAACCTGGTGATGTGGTTCTCACGCAAGGAACTGGTGGTGTTAGCATATTCGCTGTCCAATTTGCCAAAGCAGCTGGGGCAACCGTAATTGCCACAACCTCCTCCGAGTCAAAAGCTTCGACACTTAAAAAACTCGGTGTCGATCACGTAATCAATTACAAAACCACTCCAGAATGGGGTGCACATGCAAAATCCCTTACTCCTAAGTCCGCTGGCGTAGCGCACATTCTCGAAGTCGGCGGTCCCACTACCATGGCACAATCTCTACAAGCCATCAAGATCGACGGCGTGATCAGTATAATTGGATTTGTGGGCGGACAAGCAAAAGAAAAGGAGCCAGGATTTTTGGACTGTTTGACAAACGTCTGTACGGTCAGAGGTTTGCTCGTAGGAAGCAGAGACATGTTCGAGGATATGAACAGGTCAATTGATGCAAACGGAATCAAGCCAGTGGTCGATGAAAAGATATTCGGTCTGGATGAGCTTAAAGAGGCTTATCAATACATGTGGGACCAGAAACATTTTGGCAAGTTGGCCATTAAAATCGAGTAGAGGCATGTAAGCATATTACCATGGGTACTAGAAAAATTCAGGACTGTCAGGATTCCCGTTTGGCTATACTATCAATATATACTATAAAAATTGGAGTAACACGGATGAGATTCTACCTCATACACGATTTTCCAGATCATACTCAATATTCACAATTTAAAACTCATTATTTCATCCTTTGTTATCCCTTTCTATTTTACGTTCTGGAATCTCTCATTCTCATGACTCAGAAGATCAATATTGAAAGTCGGCAAAATTTAAAGGTTCTTTTATCCTATTTCGCTCTCTAATCTTCATCCATCGCTGCTCATTCTTCCTCTCACCTTACTTGTCCCACCTTCACAGTGTTTATATCTACAAGATTGGCGCTCAGAGTTTGCTGACTGGGACTCTTGCATTTGAGAGGTCGTAGCACAGTGCACATTCTGTTTCAATAATAGGGTTTCACCTGAGTGAACCTACTTTGTCTATACCCGTGCTCGCAATTCCTTTCAGTGTTAGTTATAATCTGATTTCATGGGCTTGGATGTTCGCACTGTTGTAAACCTTTGCATCTATAACTCGAGAGGCAGTGTTCATGATGGTTTCCATTTCAGATTGTAGCTCGAATGCTTGAAAGCAGGGTTCGCATTGCGGCTGGATAGTTCGATCAACTCATTCCTGTATTGTTCTCGCGAGTATTTGAGTGAATGCTTGAGTTTTTCTTGTCTTTCTTTTGCATCTTGAAGCATCGCATCGTATCGCATCGCAAGCTTTCTCGTCATCAGACATCTGGTCATCCAATGGCGCAGAGTGAGGAGTAAATGATTTTGAAATGACTATGTGATTGATTAGATCTTCTTGCAAAGTCAAGAGACCGGATATTTAGTGATGTCCACAAAGGGGTGATTCCCACTTAGTCTCTGTTGATGTTGAAGTTGAGGGCTAATACAGCAACGTCTGTTGCATGGTGATTCGCTGTGTATTATTATCACAGTGCAATCGTATCCCCGTAGTCTGAGATTCACAACGCCGGTTTTATCAGGGATAGTAAAACATCGGTCTCACAGTACTCTGCAAACATCAATTGAATGAGGCTCTGCTAGCTCTCTGGGGTCCATTGCAGTGGAGGCAGAACGATTTAATAGGAAGTCCGGAGGTCGGCGAACCCTGAGGTCGGTGACTTTGCCCTTTTGATGATACTTTTTGCGGTAATAACACTATGCAGCAATATTTCAGGTATTAGTATCTCGATTACTATAAATGCCGTTTGGGGTCTAGTATATGCTAGTGTAGATTGTTTTGTTTTTAACATATTACCATTTAAGGTAATATTGCATGGAATGTTGCTATATGAGGTTATTCCCGTACTTTTTATAAATTGATCGTTTAATCGTTGATCTGAATGCTTCGCCAATTCTCTGAAAGCCAGTGCCTCACCTAAAGTATTCTCGAGTAGCTTTCGGACGATTGGTTGTATGGAAGAAACTTCGCCTACGCCTACACCAGTTTCGATTTATCAATCGATCATTGTTGTTCGTTTTGGAATTGCGACTGTGATGATAATAGCTATCGCAACAATAAACTAATCATTATCAGCTTATATGTCACTTACCGTATGGAATAAGGTCTTGAAGTTACACTTGATGCTGTTATTATTTGATGAGCTAATACTTGGGAGCAGGAACTATCTATCAGATTGAATTACACTCAAGAGGAAATCAAGTCTTCAGAAATGAATGGTTCAATCACATGATCAATATCAAAACGAAACACCATTGACTGAATGTAAATTTGCTATATACTAGGTGAGAGATTCTAGTTACATTCTTCAAGCCAAAGCCATGCCGATTTATGCGGCAGTAGCGAAACCAATACGGGAGTTGGTGGTGTCATAGACGGAGTAGTATTGCTCCAAGAACTTCTGTCCAATGATGGTGTTGACACCGGAAGCACCTCCGTCGTTGATCCAGGCGTAGTACCTGCCGGAGCTAAGACCGAAGGAGGAGTATTGGGCGGTTGGGACCAAGTATTGTGCTGGGGTAAGGGTGTAAGTGGTGGTTCCGAACTTAATAGAAAAGTTTGCTGTTGGCTTGGTGGTGAAGGCAGCAAGACCGGATGAGCTGTCGGTGCTACCGCCGGTGGCAGCAAGGAACTTGTTGTAAGCTGCGGTTGGGATGTAGATCAAAGTGGTTCCAGTGTCGACAATTCCGGTGGCGAATGTTGCAAGGGATGTAGTGCCGTAAGTGAAACCAGCGACGTTGATACCCCAGTAGTTTGAGGCATCGCCAGATGTGGCCTTGGGGAAGTAGGTAAGAGTACCAGTGTACTTTGAGGTGTCAACACCACCGAGGGTAAGCTCGCCGTTAGTGTCATCATCATCGCTTCCAGATTCTGGCTTGAAGTAAACGCCAAGAACCTCACTAGTGATGGTGCCTTGGGACTTGAGATTGTCCATGAAGGTTGGGACAGTAGAGAGGCCAGAAACGGTACCCTGAGTAAGGTCAACTGGACCAACACCGAGAATACCATCGACGCCAGAGAATCCAGAAGCGCTGGTGGCAGCACCAATGGATTGAGACTTGACGGTAAGACCGCCGAAGCTGACAGTGTCTGTGTACTCTCTTCCGGAGAACGAGCCACTACCGTAAGAGACAGAGACGGTACCACCAGAGGCTACACCAGTTGAGGACTTCTCGCAAGAAGCCTGAGCACCACACCAGGTGTTGGAGGCTGAGTAAGATCATTAGTAAAGAGTTTCAAGAGCAGATTGAAGAAGTAACTTACATCCAGTATCGACGATGAGCGAGTATGTGGCACCTCCAATTACGACTGGGGCAATGTAGGAGACATCCTCGTTAGTGACTGCGCCAGAGCTGACTGCAGTAGCACGCTTGGCAGAAATTGCGATACCGTTGACCTTGTTGAGACGGGCTTGGCCTTTGTCGACGATGTTCTTGATGGAGGTGACGTTGTGGTGTTTGGCCAACGGAAGAACGGCAGACTTAACTTGGGCAACTGGGGATGCCGATACGGCAGCGGCGCCGGCGAATGCAAGAAGGCTGGTGGTGAACAACATGGTGCAAGAAGTACAGAACTGGTGAGGCAAGTCAAGGTAGAAGATGAAGCTGTGTGGATGAAGAGAAAGAGGAAGATGGAGACGTCTTATTTATACTCCAAGACTCACCAGTGACCCGTGAACCTGATGCTTGATCTAACCCCTCTCCTCATCTCGGAAAGGAAGGTAACGATCAAAAGTTTTGATGGCGTATTATCACCATGTATTGCGTTGAATAACGATATAGGGTTTGGTTATTGAAACAAAGCATTTCAAAGACAAGACTTACTGTTCTTGGCAGGTCAGTATAGAAAAGGTTCAATGTCGGCATTTGCCATGTTAAGGGGAAGAAGCCATTCTTCACAAATACATGTGAGTTTCTATTTCTGGGGTGTCGAAACCAGCTGATGGTGTTAATTTCCCGCACACATTCGGGTTAGTGAGAGGGGCAGCCGTTTTCATTCAAATCGTCTAATCCCGTGCTATCTCGAAATATCTTCACGAAGAAACGCCATCAGTACAAAATACAAGCTTTGTTGGCGCTAGCCAAGTTGTAGCTTCCCGTCTCGGCGACGTATGCCGCGCCGGCTCCACCGCCGGCTATTAACATTTATGCATACTAGGATATTTTAACAGCACTAGGTACTCTACAGCAAAAACTCGAGCTCCCACGCCTTATCTGCTCATGATTTGATTGCCACATTCCTCTTTCCTTCCTAGATGGACACAAGCCAAAGCGTCTCCACCATCCCACCTTCCGCAATAGGAAGTTCTCTACCGTTCTTGCCTCGGTGCACTTTAATTTACTTTGCTTCTATGGTCTCAAATTTAGATAACCGTACCGCCCATCTACTTAATTTGTCGATCGGCGGCTCTCCATAATTCGAACTGTCTAGATCTAATCTTTCTGTATCGATCGATTGATGTAATCTACAAGGCAAACCAAGAATCAAAGGAATCATTTATAGATGCTATATCTCGCAATCTAGCAATCTAGAGGTATCATTCGATACATAGGAATGTTCCAATCTTACTGTACCCTCCATTGATCATTTAAATGACACATTTACCGGAGTTTACATCTATCTCACTTCAGTGCTCACGACAAGTGCCTCTTGTACTTTCTTTCTCGAATCCCAATCCCAATCCCAATTGTTGAGTCAAAGTAGACTATTCAATGATTTACGATGTGATCTACAGCTAATCGAAAAGATGTTCATTTAATTTGGTTAATCAATCTTACAAGTTATCAAATGTCCTTACAACGTATGGGTCCTACCCCAAGTATAAATATCAACGGTACCGACAGATATCTGGATTGGAATTCAATCAAAGTGATTAACAAAAATGAATGATTCTATAAATGATTACTCATAGATTTACGACCAAGCCAATATTGCAATTTTACAATCCACTTCAATTTCTCCAATCGCAGATCATTATTTTATGATACCCCGCTTAACCCAGCACATGATTGCGAGCACCCCTCACTTTGACAACTTGCAGATACGATCTAATCCCCTGACATTAATCTCATTACTATTCCACAAAGGGATTAGACTATTTCATCTTCTTCTTCATTCTTCATTTGACTTGCAACTATCCCAAAGTTACCATTTTCCTCTGAACAAGCAGTTCAGAAGCAGTTCAGATTCTATAACATCCTTCTCCACACGATCATCACAGCGATACGAAAAGTGAGTTGAGACCCAAGCCAATAGTCTCAAGTTGTGGGTACAAAATCCCTAAAAAGCCGGTCGTACTTACCCCTAAATGACTTCATCCGGTTGAAAGCATCGTGAACAGGGTCATAAGAGCCGAACGCTAATGAAACAAACGCTAGGCGTTACTGCACTCACTATCATGTAGTTTAAAAGCGTTCGTTGCAAACCTCAACACATTACTATGGAGGTAATGGCTCTTCGTACCTTGATGGTCACTGAGGTTTAGATGAAAGGTTCAAACGCCAAGAGTTATCAAGAGATGCTTCGGCCAGAGCTATCTCGTATCAAATACGCATAGACATAAAGCCAATCTGCTTAGAGCCTATTGCCCCGTGCCCTATCTGCGGTATTTCTAAGCTAGTAGAAAAGGCTGTCGTTAGCTACAGATCAATGTCAGGGTATGTAATCGTCCGGACTGCAGCCCAACAATATAAGGTTTTGAATATCTAAAGCAGTTAGAAATCTGAAAATAGTTCAATGTTCTAATTGGTTTTAATAATCTTCAGTGTTGGACTGCAGTCCAAACTACCGCTCTGCCTAAGATCATTTCAAGCGAAAAAGACGGAGGATTCCTCATGGTGGTGAGCAGACGAGATAGCAGCAGCAGAAGAGATTGTAGCGACAATAGTGGCGAGAATGGTGACTGTTTGAGATGAAGCATACTCAAAATGAAAGATATGAGATAAGTGAGATCTAGAAGAGAAGATACTTAACTCTTAAAGAAGTGGGGATATTGGGGAAGGGAATTCTTCTGGGGGTGGGTTTTTACTATCTTTGTGGTTGTTCCTATCGTTAGTTCAAAGATCTAGGGGCAACCTTCACACGGAGTACATTGAAGATAATACTTAAGTTTCAAAGTAAAAGCTGCTTCCACCATGATTGGGCGACATCAAGGTGTGAGAGATGTACTAGGAAGAAGAGAGAAGGTGAACGTGTGCTAGAACGCTAAGTGAGAGTGCCGAAGACTTAATTTTGTAAAGCTACGAGACATGCAACTACAAGCCAAGATGTGATTGATAGCACCAATATCCAATCCTCGCGAGTTGTAGTCGACGTGTGGGGTATGTAAAGGGGTTAAGATATCCAAATTACAAGGTAAGTCCCTGTGTTCGGAAATTTAAACTTTTGACGGGCGGAATAGGGTCTCAAAATTGAATGAAGCGAGGGTGGATGAGAAAATCCTAGATACGATTTATTATGTTAAGGTTGACAATAAGAAGCATTCAACGGTATTGCCCCAACTCAATAGAAGTAATTTCAAAACCTTCCATGGGCCTATATACGAGACGATCAGAAATCCCCGCATCGACCATCATAATATCACTCTTGTGGTGCTACCAGGAAGGGAAATTTGTCGCTTCTTGTATCGTTTTCAGGTATTCTCGCAAGTTGGATACGGATGAAGGGATGCGAAGATAGAGAGTACTTATGTAGAAATGAAGATCGAGTTTAAAGGTCAAATACCCATTATCCACATGTCAAGAGCGCGAACCCTATTTCGTTGCATTCACGCATGTTATTCACTTGAAGATCGTGTCGGCAGTGTGGAATCAACTCTAACAGCTAACGTGATTCAGTGAGCCACTTGAAGCACATATAAGGAAGCTATGTACCAGGCCTATTCTCTTTTCCCCGGAGCTGCCTCTTTAATACACAGCGAGAGTTCTCAGGCTGGCAAGTGATTACTATCGGATTTTGGGACCGCATGGTAGACTGATGTAGTACTTGAAAGCGAGCTTAAAGTTCGAAATAAATGATTTGTTGAACCATATATAGAAAAAGAAAAGTTTATAAAATGGCGAAGACATTGTGAAGAATGGCGACGAGCATAAGAACAGTGCCGTTGATTGTTGTATCTTGATATATTGTTGTCACTGAATGCAGGCATGAATTTCTAATGCAAATTCTCATAGCTATCCTTTCGCTATCCGACCTGACTCGAAAGTATTACAATTTTTTTTTGGATCTGTCAAGTATTCAGACCTTTAAGTCCAGCCTCATCAGTTATTTCATTCACTTCTTCGTGATCCTTTCATAATAAGATGCAGAACTACAGAGCTGGAGGTTTCACAGCTCTTTTATAGTGGCAGATTGAAATTGTGTGGAGTGAATAGGTATGGGTATAAGTAGATGAAGAGTTCGATCTACCAAAAGCGAAAGGATAACAGATATACATGGAGTGAATGTTGTTGCAACGCATAGTGTGTTCAAGTGGTGTATATCAAGCGGTAACACGACGAATGCCGTAAAAGTATTGCTGAACATAAAAAGAAAGAGCGCACTCAAGTTCTGGCCATTGATGGATGTTGAAAAGATTTCTTCATCATTCGAAGGATTTCCAACTCCTGGCAATGAAGCTCGATCAACGCAAGTTACACTGCTCTTGTAAATCTGTCGTTCCGAGGTACTGATCAAATAAAGCCACTGGCAGCAGAAAATGAGTGCAATGAAATCTTCAATGACAGTCAGAAGGCCCTACGACGAGATAAATGAGATGACAGTCACATGCTAACGACCAAGCACTTGCCGAGTAAATCGTACAGAAAATGGTAATATGACACCAATTTATAAGCAGGTTTGCGACCTTCCGCATTTGATGAAGTCTGCGAACTATCCAGCGTCCTAGCCCAGCTAACTTCACAACTAGTTACCGGCGCATCATCTTCGCCAATGAGTGGCCCTCGCGATACGCCCTTTACGCCCTTCAAAGCCCACGAGGTGGACGGCAATAAACGTCAACCAATGCCAGCGAATAAAAAGACAGACCCGTGTTATCAAATAAATCATCTCAATTAAATCCTTGGTATCAAGTACAATACATCCAAACATATATCACAAGTGTGCTCTAGCCTTCAGTGCTTGCCTTCTCTTCTCTCTTCTTTGCAATTCCTCCTTGTCCTCCTCTGACATCCCTATATCCCCCGATCCTTCCGCGAACAAAGTCTGACCCAATTCATCTGCAAGTCTCAAGACTCTTGTTGATACGGTTGCTCCATCTCGTCTATTTTTTCCTTCTCGCCTTGACTTTGCAATCTTTTCAATAAAATCCCATAATTTTCCTTCAGCGATTATCATATTAGTTTCTGGATTTCGCTGTGGTGTCCATTCGGGAGCAAGTCGAGATCGTGGTGGGATCTTGGAATTTCGACTCTTAGATACTATTACAATGCCCTCATCTTCAAATCGCTGATATGCATTTTTAAGTGTTTCTTTATTAACGGCTTCGAAGTAAGATAGATCACCTTGGTGATAAAGAGTTTTCCCAAGCTTGAAATCATTAGCAGTTAGTCATAGACG